CTGGGAGGGGCGGGGTGGGCGGCTGCGCGCGGCTGGCGCCACAGGGGCAGCTTGCGGGCTGGTCCCCGCCCCGCCTTCTCCCCTGCCCTGCCCCGCCTGCGCTCCCCTCCCCTCCCCTGCCTGGCCGCCAGCCTTGGCCACATCCCCGCCGCCGCCCCGCCCCGCGCCGCCGCAGACGAGATCGACGCCATTGCTCCCAAGCGGGAGACGGCGCAGCGCGAGATGGAGCGCCGCATCGTGGCACAGATGCTCACCTGCATGGACGACCTGTCCAGCCTGTACGCACAGTCGTCACACGACGCGCAGCAGCAGGGCGCCGACGACGGCCAGGGGCAGCCGGGGCAGCCGGGGCAGCGGCCGGGGGCGGGCGCCGAGGGCGAGGCGGCGGCGCGGCTGCTGGAGGGCAAGCACGTGGTGGTGGTGGGGGCCACCAACCGGCCCGACGCGCTGGATCCCGCGCTGCGGCGTGCGGGGCGCTTTGACCGCGAGATCGCCATGGGCATCCCCTCGGAGCAGGCGCGCCTCCAGATACTGCAGGTGAAGGGGGTGGGGGCCCTCGCTCCTGCGCTGGGCGCCGGCGCCGGCGCCTCTGCGTGTGGTGTCGCAGCTGCGGCGGGCTGCGTGTGGCGTGTGGGCCAAGGGAACCGGAGGGAGGGTTGCTTGCATGGGCTGGGCTGGGCTAGGCTGGCGTGGCTGGCACTGGCACGCGATGCTGCAGGCGCTGGTGCCACCCCGCCCCACGCCCCCCGCCGCCGCCCCCGCCCGTGCCGCCCGCCGCGCGCAGGTGCTGGCGCGCCGCCTGCGCCTGTCTGGCGACTTTGACTTCCGCGCCGTGGCCAAGCGCACGCCCGGCTTTGTGGGCGCTGACCTGGCGGCGCTGATGAAGGAAAGCGCGGCGCTGGCGGTCAAGCGCATCTTCCAGCAGCTGGAGGCGGCGGCGGCGGTGGAGGCGGCAGAGGCAGAGGCAGAGGCAGAGGCAGAGGCGGGCGCCGCGCCGGCCAGCCCCGGGGCCGCCGACGCCGCCCCCCTGCAGCCCCAGCGGCAGCAGCAGCAGGGGGGCGCCCCTCTGCAGGACGTGCGGCAGCCCGCGGCGGCGGGTGCGGAGCAGCGGCGGGGCGGCGGCGCGGGCCCCGCGCGCCGCCTGGGCGGCGGCGCGCTGAGCGCTGCTGAGCTGGCAGGCCTCGCCATCACCATGGCCGACTTTGAGGAGGCGGTGCCCAAGGTGCAGCCGTCGGTGCGGCGCGAGGGCTTTGCCACCACCCCGGACGTGACGTGGGACGATGTGGGTTCGCTGGGCGACGTGCGGGAGGAGCTGGCCTTTGCCATCACCCAGCCCATCGCACACCCGGAGGTGTTTGAGGCCATGGGACTGCAGGCCGCCACCGGGGTGCTGCTGTTCGGGCCGCCAGGTGGGTGCGGGGGCGGTGGGAGGGCAGGCGGGGGCCCACTGGCCCACTCGTCGCTGCTGTGCCTCGCCGGCTCCCCCCCTGCTCTCCCTTGTGCCCCCCGCCGACCCTGCTCCTCACCCTCCCCTACCCTGCCTCCCCTCCTCCTCCTCACCACCACCACCACAACCACAATCACCACAACTAC